CATATGCTCCTCATTTCCATCTTCTTGTTGCTTTTCCGGGGTCTCCTCCTCTTCCGGCATTCTTGGGTCCTCCGTTGTCTTACCACTTCTTGTGGTAATGGCCATCACATTCTCTCTTGGGTTCATCTCCGTGGTTGTAGGGAATTTGCATTGCTCCCTAGAACTTACTTTTTGGGCAAGTTGCCCTATTTGAACTTCGAGATTCCGGATGGATGCCTTGTTGTATTGCTCAATGATGTCGATGCGTTGGTTGAGTTTCATATTTTGATCTTCAAAGCGAAGATCCAACTTGGTGAATTGCGAGTGGAGATTCCCAATGGATGCCACTCTACTATGATTCTCCTCATTTTGGGCTTTTATAGCCCCAACATTTTGAGTGAGGGCTTTCATCATCTCCTCTAGTGTTTGTTCTTTTTGCCCTTGCGCAAAATTGGATAAGAGGTTAGAAGGATCTCCTTGTGGTCTCCGAGAATTACCTTGGTTAAACCTTTGTTGGTTGTTGGAATAGTTGTTGCCTCCCCTATTCCCATATGAGTTCATGTAATTCACTTCTTCAAAAGTTTGAGGTGAATTACCTTCCGGTTGTGCTATGCTTTCTACATTTTCCACTTGAATAGCCCCTCCAATCACGGCTTGTAGAGCCGTGTGAATAGAAGCTTGGAGATCTTTGTGCATAGCTTGTTGAAAATCAGCAAACCGCTTGTCTAATTCATGGGCTATAGAAACCTCGCTCACACCGGCCAATTTGACGTCTCCTCCTTGTAATTGAGGATTTGAAGCAATGGATTCAAGGATTCTCAATGTTTCTGTTTCAGTTTTATTTCCAATGTAGCCCTCCGCACGGCTGTGTACAATGGCTTGGCATGAAGGATTCAAACCATTGTAGAATGTATCTATTTGAAGATCAAGAGGAATGTGGTGATGTGGGCATTCCTTCAATAAGGCCTTAAAACGCCTCCATGCATCTTGAAAGAGTTCTCCAACTTGTTGTTTGAAGTTGAAGATTCGTTGCCTTAGCTCCTGAGTCATCGTGGGTGTGTAATACTTAGAGATGAAAGCATTATATATACCTTCCCACGTTGTAAAGGTTGCCGGTGCTTGCTCCAAGAACCACATCCTTGCTCCCCCTTTCAAAGTGTAGGGAAAGCTTTTGAGTTTGAGATCGTCCTCGGTGAGCCCATGCCTAGGGATCCCTTGGATGAACCCATAGAATTCGGTGATGAAATTGAGTGGATTCTCCCCCGGAAGACCATGAAATTGAGGCATAGCATTGAAATAGCTATTTTTCATTTCATAATCCCGAGCTGCCTCGCTTAGGACAATACATGGAGTGGTGGCAACCACGGGCCTCTTCCTTTCGTTTAGTGTGGGCATCATCTTTGTGGCTTATTGTTCCTTCCGTATGTGTTTGCAAGTTTTTTCTATTTCAAGATCAAGTGGTTCAAGAAATTTAGAACCTTGACTTCTCAAATGCATGCAAACACAAAGGAATGTCTACACACACAAAAATAAACTCTTCCAAGATCAAGTAAAGTTGTGAAAAGAGATAAAATAAATTCAGGACTTTTGATTAATTATTTGGACTTTTATTAAACAAGACCGTTTCCCCTGCAACGGCGCCAAAAACTTGATCGGTTTGAACTTGCAAGTGTACAAGTGCTGATATAGTAATAAAATACCGGTAAATACCGGGTCGATCCACAGGGAACTGGTTGATATTATAAAGTCGAGTATTGAATGCAAAGAATGTAAATGGTATAGTTTTTCCGGAACTTTTTTCTTTGAGATTGATTTAAACAAGAATGAGAATTACTAAGGCAATCGGGATTCACCTAAATGCTTTAATAGTTATTTAATAATAGTTCTTTCCCAATAATCATGAATACGATGTCGCTAATATATTCTCAACTCCGGTTAAGGCAGCGAGAGCGTGGTTTTCGTTACGTGTAAGTCCCGTTAAGGCTTACATTCATCTACCGAAAACCCCGTTGAATATCAAGACATCACACCCGTATCATACAAGACCGGATATATTTCTATTCTTGGTACTATATATGTTTATCCTTTAATGTTCATAGTTTAGACTTCAACGTTAATTGCAAGCATAAACTAAATTTAACATACTTCTATGTTGTACACCATAGTCATAAACAATCAAAATATAAAGGATAAATCACAATTTATTGGTTTAGAACTTTTATTAAACATCTAGTGTGCATAGAGGTTCATCCCTAGCCTTAGCTAAGAAATTAGTCTCTAATGCTCATGTTAATCACAATACAATATTGAAATGTAATGGAACATGAAATTACAAAGGAAATAATACCTAAACACCAATAGTTTTGGAGGTTGAAGTTTCCTTCTCAAGAACTTGAAGAAAATACCAAGAACAAAAATATAAAAGCTAAGAATTAATCTATGGAATGAGATGTAATGTCTTTGCTTGATGAATTGAGGGCTTTATATAGGCTAAAGAGTGGCATCTTTTAGTCTATTCAAGCCCAACAATCATGTATGGAGGAGATATTTGATCAAATATGAGGAAGATGAATTTTTCCCATCAAGAAATCTTCTGCATGTCGGACTGTTTTAGCAGAATATCGGAACGACCGGCGCCGGTTAGAGTATGTCCGGCGCCGGTTGGGTGCAAAAATGCACCGGTTGCTCTGCGCCGGTTGGAAACAGGCCCGATTTGGGGGGAAATCCCAACGACCGGCGCCGGATGTGTGATGAGAAGGTATGTTTTTCTTCTTATGCTTTGTACATGTTAGGCTCCGTTTGGTAGCCAGTTATGCTTTTTGGAGTTACTGGTTTGGCCGAAATGGATTTTTGCGGGGTGCCTTTTTTTAAAAGATTTAGCATATTCAGCCATTTCAGCAAAATAGCTCTTACCAAACTGACCCATACTATTTTCTTTGGTGTAAAGGATATTTTTGGGTTAACTGCCTCTATTCTAAAAATATCTGGCTAGACACACCTTTAGGACACTGATAATGTGCTAATGTTCTATAAATGTTTAGCTATCTTTAGAAGTTTTCATTCATAATCTCTTATCTCCTAACTATATAAAGCGGTGGTTAGTTTCTATCGGTTTGACATTACGTTGCTACAGGCCCTCTGTTTGTTCACACCGTTGACTTCTCTCCCACTAAAAAAGGCTGAGGATGTTTCTTCCACCTCATTTCCCATTTGGATATTTCGGGCTGGTCGGGTTGGAATTTTACAAACCCTACCCGCCACCCGGTCTAGGCCGAATACTAACCGGATTTTCGGTTTCGGGATTTTGGATCGGATATCCACTTCGGTTCGGGTAATATCTGCAAAACCTTCGGGTCTTGCGGGTTGGTTCGGGTTTTGCTCAGCCTTTTTTTTGGATGAAATATATATATATATATATATATATATATATATATATATATATATATATATATATATATATATATATATATATATATAGAGAGAGAGAGAGAGAGAGAGAGAGAGAGTAGGGATCAAATGAGAATAACATCTTAGGAGAGAAATAAGAATGCATCTCCACCCTTGATTTAGTGTGATTTAATCAAATGACTTAATGGACTAACGCTTTGCGTATAATGAACTTCCACTCATCCCATATACAATACTACGTATTTCGCATCACTAACATATTACGTAACTTTTCTTTTTTAAGCACTTAACTTCTACCCCATACTTATTAATCACTAACATATTACGTTTTTTGTCTAGATTCATTTAACTTTAAGAAAAGTTTGAAAAGGTTCTGTCCATTTGGGAATCTAGTATTAACTTTATTGAGGCACGTCTAAAATAATACTGGTGTTAACTTTAAGTGTATATTTTCTCTTACAAATATATTTGGTATATGTACTGTTTTTACTTGGTGGTGCATTGGTTATTATTATTATTATTATTAAAATTATTATTATTATTATTAGTATTGTTATTATTATTATTAAAGTTCAAAATAGTTTGTTTAAGAATATTTATGCAAATGGAAATGATAAATGTGCAAATTGTTTTCCTAAAAGTGCATATTTACTTTTAGGTATGCAAGGGCAATCAAAATTAGTTAATGCTAGAAGTGCATAACTTTAAGATAAAAGAGCATCACTAAAATATTAAAGTTGCACATTAAATTTCATTTGAATGACAATATATGATATGATCCCTTTTAGAATAAGTTATTTTTTCGATCATGAAATTAAGAAAGTCACGTATAAATTTGAAGTGCAATTACAGTACACTCGTATAATAACTTTTCGAAGTGCAATTAGTTATTACAGACTTACAGCACTACATTCCTCCATAAGTTGGTAAACTAATCAAATGAAAATGAAGCAAATGAGTTGGTACACATGACAACACCAGTAACAAAGTGTAGAACTGTGTATGAACATTTAGCACATTAGAGATTTAGAGAACATGGAGGCCGTAACTCTTAAGTGAAGATGAAATCCAACGGATTCAACATTTCAACTACTGGGAAGTGGGAAAGTGTGGGAATTTGTTCTGGGTTCCCTTCATATCCAATGGGAGATTTAACAATGTTACATTAATAATGGATGGTGGATACATATATATAATGGTGAGAATTAGGGAGTGGATTCGGGCCGGGCCGGGCCGGGCCTAGGCCCGGGCGGGCCGCCGGTTCTGAATAGGTGGGCCGGGGACCGGGCCAAGCCTTGGGTCAATTTTTTTTTCCATTTTCCTAATTTACACCCCCACCCTCAACCTCCAAACCACCCCAAATGGCCCAAAAAACCCAGCCCAAACCAAAAAGCTAAAAAAAATTGAAAAAAAATAAAAAATAACCAGCCGGGCCAGTTCAGCTTTTGGGTGACCCGAGCCCGCACCGTGATCCCCCCGGGCCAGGCCTCCCTGACCGGTCACAGGCCGGCTTACCGGGCCGGGCTGGTTCAACACAATACCGGTCCCGGGCCGGTTCCGGGTCGGGCCACCCGGCCCGAGTCCAGGACTAGTGAGAAATGAGAATGCATTCTTGGCGGAAAGTATAAAGTGTTTATAGTCGCACCAGTTTGTATCTTTCAAACGTGTCGTTGAAACTATAAACCTATATTTTGTCAGCATACAAGATATAAGTCCTGTAAGAATTCCTATAAGCAGTGAGGTAATTAGAGGCTCCCCAAAAGAATCATGCATGGCAAGCAAATGGTAATGTCAGCAAGTTCTGAGGCATCTCTTGACTCTTCTCCTGCCTTTCAGAACCATGATTTATGTCGGCGACGTGCATAATACGGTTGTGTTGGAGCTAAGAGAACATTTGGAAGAAGCTTTCGGCATATGTCATAGGTCTGACATTAGGGTGCGGCTGGAGTTTCAATTTTAGACATACACAGCAAATCAGTTGAAGTTAAAATACTCCCACCAATGCAATCATGATTAAAAAAACGGTCTCGCAGTGAGAAATGAGTAGAAAATAGAAAAACATACTCTAAAATTTGAAAGAGGCACTTTTACAGTAACTGACTTTGAAAAAGGTACAACTTTCAACTTTTAAATTACTTCATATTAAATTTTAACACGTCTCCCTCCTGAGGTCGGTCTTTCAGTGGAGGAGGCCACGTCTAGAATAAATGGGAGTGTGTGGCATGTAACCAGAGTAAGGATGTTTAAAAAGGCATCCTTTGAAAAACTAAAAGTATACCTACAAACACCCCCCCCCCCCCCCACTGTGCACTCCATCAATACCAAAAGAAAATCTAGTTTTGGTTTACGATGTTTGATTGATGATGAAATCAAATCTTTCAAATATGAAAAAAGTGTAATATAAAATCAGAGAACTTAATTTTGGTGAATGGTGAATGGGAACTTATGGTGAATGGTATCCGTATATGTATAGAGGCTATGTAGCAAATGTAAATGCAAAAAACGGAATATTAAAAGGCAAATGGATAAAATATTGTGTTGTATTAAAATTCTATGTGAATTTCAAATATATTAACTTTTTATGAAGCTTATAAGTTACAACAAAAATTAAATAAGGAGTATACTTGCAATCAAAATTTTATAACAGGAAAGATTAAAAAAGTGTGGTAAAAAGACTAAAAACCTTACTTTATTGTAGGAGTAGTTTCGAGCCGGGCCAGGTCAGGGTGGGCTGCCGGTACTGAATAGGTGGGCCTGGGACCGGCCCACGTAGCCACCGGGTCCGGGCCAGGTCAGGGACGGGCCAGGCCTCGGGTCAATTTTTTTTTTCCTTTTTCCTAATTAACCACCCCCTCACCCCGAACCCCCCAAAACACCCAACATCCCAAATGGCCCAAAATACCCAACCCAACCCAACCCAAAAAGTTAAAAAAAAATAAAAACCCGGAACCAGGCCTACCCAACCGGTCACTGGCCGGGCCACCGGGCCAGGTCGGTTACTATCATATACGAAAATTACAAAAAAAAGAACTTAGTTGATACATAACGTCAATAATAACAATTACCATTGAACTTACATTTCGAGTGATTTGGACCTTTAGTGAGAATTCTGATAAATGATTGGAATCACATTGTTGATTTTTATCCATGCCGCATTGCCACTTGAAAAAAGTGGGTCAACTTCACCATAACAAATCTGCAACTTCTATTAGCAGTTCCGGGTCCATGCCTAATCATCATACTGTGTACATATACTTGTAAGAACGCAGAGGCACCTCTATCTTTACTGGAAGTTGGATGTTTTAATGGCCAAGGAAATGATGAAAGGTGGGGGGAGGTTGTGGAACACACCAGTCATAATCGAAACCGCTCCAAGAAACTCATGCTTAAACCCAAAGTAACCCTTCCAAGAAAACCTTCACATTTTTAATCGAACCAACCATGTTTTCACCTTCAATAACCCCCTGTCCACGTAAAGGGGCACACCCAGAAATACCATCTTCACCATACATGCATGCTCTGTCACCAGAAAAAGAACACACAAAAAGTATTATCATTTTGATCTACTCCATCCATCCCAAGGTATTTTTAGCTTTAGCCAAAATTTTGTCACTAAATAATTTTCATTTTACGAGATGTAGTTTTCTGTGTTTTTCTCATACTAGATGCTTCTACGCTTAGAAGAAGCAAGATGGCATTTAATGAAAAAGTCTTGTAGAGATTGAAATGTCATTTTACAATGTTACATAATGTGTGCAATTTTGTAAAACATTAATCAAATTGGGACATAGATAATATCATTCATAAACCTAGCAATAGTGATGTAGTGATTAAAATACTTATAGGTCGTGGAATGATGAATCCTAAAAAGATATTTCATGTACCATAGAAGAAGGTGCCGACAATGGATGCAATGCTTTTGTTTGGGAGTAATGGAATTGAACAGACACCATGCCGTAGAAAGTGAAGTATAACGATGTGCATATTATGGAGAGGGCCAGAAAAACTTGGCCACTGTCCATTTAAATCCGATCATAGCATAACAACAACACCATAACTATGATTGTAGAAGTGCATACGTAATTCCAAATACAGCCAGTTACACAGACAAAAACAAATTACTATTATATTATAATTTATAATTCACATTTTTATAATGGGTAGCAAAAAATGTGGACTAGGACCGTAGAAATAAAACTCAATTGTCCGAAGGCATATGGCAATGCCGAATACATCCAATAACGAGAACCACATTCTACATGGACCCCATTGCATTAAGCAAAATTTTCTTCCTCCGATTGAAACATAAAAACCATGAAATTTTAGCACCAGAGTTTACCACAAAATAGCAGAACTATTAATAAGCCGTGTTTCGACTACTTACGCTTTAGTACCAAGGGCCCAGAATATTGCCCAAAAACCCAATGCAATGAAAGTTTGTGAAGAGGAACCTAACTGCGGTGTAAGATGTGTTACGCCAATAAGACCAGTGTTGCTTCCACAAAAAGGTCACAAATTGGCTCCAGAAACACTGCCAGTAGTGTGTTGGGAAATACAAGTCCTTGGAACAAGGGCGAGGTGTGCTTAATACACTCATCAAAACTTTGCTTTGTAGAGATCTGAGTTCTTGTAGACATCTGTGAAATCAACTCCTAATAACATTTTTGAGCTGCTGAGGTTGTCACATCAAACATCCATGTTGTTGGATTGTATTCTTCCTTGATTTTCGCCACTCTGTGGAAGGACAATTCTAAGATAAGTGAATTACAAAAGTAATGTGGTATAGATTAGAAGATGGGGCTTTTGAGGTTTCAAAACCTACCTCAAAGTAACAATGAAATGGCATGAATTACGTCCCAAGGGCAGGACACAAATCTCTTGTAGTCCTCTCTTCATGAGAATGAGATGCAGGGTTATTTCATTCTTGATCAGTTTATTGTTTAAAACTTTGCAAAATTATGAAAATAAAACAACGTAAAACCAAAAGAAAGTCGGCTTACCTCGTCAAAAGGCCTCAAAAATCAGGTCAGGTGGCCCAACCCTACCAGTCACCAGCGACTGCCATCGAAACCTAGCAACCGCCACCGAATCTGATGAGTGCCACTAGAATCAAGCGACTATTGCTAGAATTTAAAGACCCGCAGATAATCAAGTTAACAATGCATATAGAGTAATTGATAGAATTTTAAATCCAGTGAAGAATGCCAATAGTGCCATTTACTATCAAATACGAAAATTACAAAAAAAAGAACTTAGTTCATACATAATAATGTCAATAATAACAATTACAAAAACCTCCAGAGGGGGAAATATTGCCAGGTATTGTCATAAAACTTGGGGCAAGATATATTATCTGGACTTTAGACACCATTGAACTTACATTTCGAGTGATTTGGACCTTTAGTGAGAATTCTGATAAATGATTGGAATCACATTGTTGATTTTTATCCATGCCGCATTGCCACTTGAAAAAAGTGGGTCAACTTCACCATAACAAATCTGCAACTTCTATTAGCAGTTCCGGGTCCATGCCTAATCATCATACTGTGTACATATACTTGTAAGAACGCAGAGGCACCTCTATCTTTACTGGAAGTTGGATGTTTTAATGGCCAAGGAAATGATGAAAGGTGGGGGGAGGTTGTGGAACACACCAGTCATAATCGAAACCGCTCCAAGAAACTCATGCTTAAACCCAAAGTAACCCTTCCAAGAAAACCTTCACATTTTTAATCGAACCAACCATGTTTTCACCTTCAATAACCCCCTGTCCACGTAAAGGGGCACGCCCAGAAATACCATCTTCACCATACATGCATGCTCTGTCACCAGAAAAAGAACACACAAAAAGTATTATCATTTTGATCTACTCCATCCATCCCAAGGTATTTTTAGCTTTAGCCAAAATTTTGTCACTAAATAATTTTCATTTTACGAGATGTAGTTTTCTGTGTTTTTCTCATACTAGATGCTTCTACGCTTAGAAGAAGCAAGATGGCATTTAATGAAAAAGTCTTGTAGAGATTGAAATGTCATTTTACAATGTTACATAATGTGTGCAATTTTGTAAAACATTAATCAAATTGGGACATAGATAATATCATTCATAAACCTAGCAATAGTGATGTAGTGATTAAAATACTTATAGGTCGTGGAATGATGAATCCTAAAAAGATATTTCATGTACCATAGAAGAAGGTGCCGACAATGGATGCAATGCTTTTGTTTGGGAGTAATGGAATTGAACAGACACCATGCCGTAGAAAGTGAAGTATAACGATGTGCATATTATGGAGAGGGCCAGAAAAACTTGGCCACTGTCCATTTAAATCCGATCATAGCATAACAACAACACCATAACTATGATTGTAGAAGTGCATACGTAATTCCAAATACAGCCAGTTACACAGACAAAAACAAATTACTATTATATTATAATTTATAATTCACATTTTTATAATGGGTAGCAAAAAATGTGGACTAGGACCGTAGAAATAAAACTCAATTGTCCGAAGGCATATGGCAATGCCGAATACATCCAATAACGAGAACCACATTCTACATGGACCCCATTGCATTAAGCAAAATTTTCTTCCTCCGATTGAAACATAAAAACCATGAAATTTTAGCACCAGAGTTTACCACAAAATAGCAGAACTATTAATAAGCCGTGTTTCGACTACTTACGCTTTAGTACCAAGGGCCCAGAATATTGCCCAAAAACCCAATGCAATGAAAGTTTGTGAAGAGGAACCTAACTGCGGTGTAAGATGTGTTACGCCAATAAGACCAGTGTTGCTTCCACAAAAAGGTCACAAATTGGCTCCAAAAACACTGCCAGTAGTGTGTTGGGAAATACAAGTCCTTGGAACAAGGGCGAGGTGTGCTTAATACACTCATCAAAACTTTGCTTTGTAGAGATCTGAGTTCTTGTAGACATCTGTGAAATCAACTCCTAATAACATTTTTGAGCTGCTGAGGTTGTCACATCAAACATCCATGTTGTTGGATTGTATTCTTCCTTGATTTTCCCCACTCTGTGGAAGGACAATTCTAAGATAAGTGAATTACAAAAGTAATGTGGTATAGATTAGAAGATGGGGCTTTTGAGGTTTCAAAACCTACCTCAAAGTAACAATCAAATGGCATGAATTACGTCCCAAGCGCAGGACATAAATCTCTTGTAGTCCTCTCTTCATGAGAATGAGATGCAGGGTTATTTCATTCTTGATCAGTTTATTGTTTAAAACTTTGCAAAATTATGAAAATAAAACAACGTAAAACCAAAAGAAAGTCGGCTTACCTCATCAAAAGGCCTCAAAAATCAGGTCAGGTGGCCCAACCCTACCAGTCACCAGCGACTGCCATCGGAACCTAGCAACCGCCACCGAATCTGATGAGTGCCACTAGAATCAAGCGACTATTGCTAGAATTTAAAGACCCGCAGATAATCAAGTTAACAATGCATATAGAGTAATTGATAGAATTTTAAATCCAGTGAAGAATGCCAATAGTGCCATTTACTATCAAATACGAAAATTACAAAAAAAGAACTTAGTTCATACATAATAATGTCAATAATAACAATTACAAAAACCTCCAGAGGGGGGAATATTGCCAGGTATTGTCATAAAACTTGGGGCAAGATATATTATCTGGACTTTAGACACCATTGAACTTACATTTCGAGTGATTTGGACCTTTAGTGAGAATTCTGATAAATGATTGGAATCACATTGTTGATTTTTATCCATGCCGCATTGCCACTTGAAAAAAGTGGGTCAACTTCACCATATCAAATCTGCAACTTCAATTAGCAGTTCTATTCCGGGTCCATGCCTAATCATACTGTGTACATATACTTGTAAGAACACAGAGGCACCTCTATCTTTATGGGAAGTTGGATGCTCCAAGAAACTCATGCTTAAACCCAAAGTAACCCTTCCAAGAAAACCTTCACATTTTGAATCGAACCAACCATGTTTTCACCTTCAATATTATGGAGAGGGCCAGAAAAACTTGGCCACTGTCCATTTAAATCCGATCATAGCATAAACAATAACACCATAACTACGATTGTAGAAGTGCATCCGTAATTCCAAATACAGCCGGTTACACGGACAAAAACAAATTACTATTACATTATAATTTATAATTCACATTTTTATAATGGGTAGCAAAAAATGTGGACTAGGACAGTAGAAATAAAACTCACTTGTCCGAAGGCATATGGCAATGCCGAATACATCCAATAAAGAGAACCACATTCTACATGGACCCCATTGCATTAAGCAAAATTTTCTTCCTCTGACTGAAACATAAATACCATGAAATTTTAGCACCAGAGTTTACCACAAAATAGCAGAACTATTAATAAGCCGTGTTTCGACTACTTACGCTTTAGTACCAAGGGCCCAGAATATTGCCCATAAAGCCAATGCAATGACAGTTGTGAAGAGGAACCTAACTGCGGTGTAAGATGTGTTACGCCAATAAGACCAGTGTTGCTTCCACAAACAGGCCACAAATTGGCTCCAGAAACACTGCCAGTAGTGTGTTGGAAAATACAAGTCCTTGGAACAAGGGCGAGGTGTGCTTAATACACTCATCAAAACTTTGTTTTGTATAGATCTGAGTTCTTGTAGACATCTGTAAAATCAACTCCTAATAACATTTTTGAGCTGCTGAGGTTGTCACATCAAACATCCATGTTGTTGGATTGTATTCTTCCTTGATTTTCGCCACTCTGTGGAAGGACAATTCTCAGATAAGTGAATTACACAAGTAATGTGGTATAGATTAGAAGTTGGGGCTTTGGAGGTTTCGAAACCTACCTCAAAGTAACAATCAAATGGCATGAATTACGTCCCAAGGGCAGGACATAAATCTCTTGTAGTCCTCTCTTCATTAGAATGAGATGCAGGGTTATTTTATTCTTGATCAGTTTATTGTTTTAAACTTTGCAAATTTGTGAAAGTAAAACAACGTAAAACCTAAAGAAAGTCGGTTTACCTCATAAAAAGGCCTCAAAAATCATGTCAGGTGGGCCAACCCTACTAGTCACCAGCGACTGCCATCGAAACCTAGCAACCGCCGCCGAATCTGATGAGTGCCACTAGAATCTAGCGACTATTGCTAGAATTTAAAGACCAGCAGATAATCTAGTTAACAATGCATATAGAGTAATTGATAGAATTTTAAATCCAGTGAAGAATGCCAATAGTGCCATTTACTATCAAATACGAAAATTACAAAAAAAGAACTTAGTTCATAGTTCATACATAATAATGTCAATAATAACAATTACAAAAACCTCCACAGAGGGGGAAATATTGCCAGGTATTGTCATAAAACTTGGGGCAAGATATATTATCTGGACTTTAGACACCATTGAACTTACATTTCGAGTGATTTGGACCTTTAGTGAGAATTCTGCTAAATGATTGGAATCACATTGTTGATTTTTATCCATGCCGCATTGCCACTTGAAAAAAGTGGGTCAACTTCACCATATCAAATCTGCAACTTCGATTAGCAGTTCTATTCCGGGTCCATGCCTAATCATACTGTGTACATATACTTGTAAGAACGCAGAGGCACCTCTATCTTTACTGGAAGTTGAATGTTTTAATCGCCAAGGAAATGATGAAAGGTGGGGGGGGGTTGTGGAACACACCAGTCATAATCGAAACCGCTCCAAGAAACTCATGCTTAAACCCAAAGTAACCTTCCAAGAAAACCTTCACATTTTGAATCGAAGCAACCATGTTTTCACCTTCAATAACCTCATGTCCACATAACGGGGCACGCCCAGAAATACCATCTTCACCATACATGCATGCTCTGTCACTGGAAAAAGAACACACAAAAAGTATTATCATTTTGATCTACTCCATCCATCCCAAGGTATTTGTAGCTTTAGCCAAAATTTTGTCACTAAATAATTTTCATTTTACTAGATGTAGTTTTCTGTGTTTTTCTCATACTAGATGCTTTTACGCTTAGAAGAAGCAAGGTGGCATTTAATGAAAAAGTCTTGTAGAGATTGAAATGTCATTTTACAGTGTTACATAATGTGTGCAATTTTGTAAAACATTAATCAAATTGGGACACAGATAATATAATTCATAAATCTAGCAATAGTGATGTAGTGATTAAAATACTTATAGGTAGTGGAATGATGAATCCTAAAAAGATATTTCATGTACCATAGAAGAAGGTGCCAACAATGGATACAATGCTTTTGTTTGGGAGTAATGGAATTGGACAGACACCATGCCGTAGAAAGTGAAGTATAACAATGTGCATATTATGGAGAGGGCCAGAAAAACTTGGCCACTGTCCTTTTAAATCCGGTCATAGCATAAACAATAACACCATAACTACGATTGTAGAAGTGCATACGTAATTCCAAATACAGCCGGTGCCTCAATGTAACAATTAAATGGCATGAGTTACACCCCAAGGGCCGGACATAAATCTCTTGTAGTCCTCTCTTCTTTAGAATGAGATGCAGGGTTTATTCCATACTTAATCAGTTTATTGTTTTAAACTTTGCAAAATTATGAAAATTAAACAACGTAAAACCTAAAGAGAGTCGATTTAACTCATCAAAAGGCCTCAAAAATGTTGATTCTGAGTTGATGAATAGTGCAGGCGACGGTTCAACCAGTATCAATAATGTTTCTCACAGCTCTTACACCACTGCAGCAGCTCTAGGATTAAGTCTTGAAATTGGCTCATCCATGAATATGTTTGAGTTAGCCACTAACTGAACATGATTGTTAGCTTTTTGTGTTGTTCGGTCGAGAGACCATTGACACTGAGCAACCCAACATGTGCTCACCTCAATGGGTTAAGCTCAACTAGCTCCATCACTTCATCAATAAACATCTGCAATTTAATCATCAAATGTAAATTCTCTGACTTCTGAAAGCGAGCATTATAAGATACTGTGATGGTTATAAGGAAAAGATATTTTTTGTAAAAAAAAAAGTACAAACCTTTCTAGCATTAGCATCCACATCCTCTGGCAAACGTAGCCATGCTTAGTAAATCAATGGCGCGTGAACAGTAACATAGGGAGATTGGCTGTCCTGTTTACAGGAACCTGAAACTCGGGGAAAAGATACTTGTTTCTTTAGTTATCTGGAAGGATCCACGGAAGGAATAGCATATGCCAGGGAAGAATCAGAGGTCCTTTTATTAATGGAGGAATATGACCACTCTATCTTTTCCAAATATGTCATAAAAGCCATTGTCCTTTTGCCCTTGTTTCATAACAAATACTCGACCTCTCCAATTCAGAGGCAGTCCTTTATATTGGCTGCTTAAGTTTTCTCTACGTGTTTCCCCCTCACAGAGTAACTTATTAAGAACCGTAGCTTCTTTCTTATTTTTAACGAAATAATCGTTGAGCATACCTAGATATACTAGATCTTTATCCTCAACAACAACGGCAGTCCGAGCAGAATCATACAAATTGCTGTATTTTTTTATCACCTCAGCCCCCTGTAATTCATCGTAAGGATCCTCTTCGAGTTTGGGCACAATCTTATACCGATGCGCTGATTCCATCTCCATTGGCTTTCTTTTGTCATCTTCATTGATTTTGTCCTCGTCCACAAGTTGATCTTCTAGAAAGTGATCATCCCCAGGTTCATTTTGATCTTCTGCATTTTTTTTTAAAAGATACTGCTCTGCAGCAGCACAGTTGTGTCTCTTTCCCGGTTCCAAAAAGAGAACAGCACTGCACCGCAATATAATTTTAAGGAGTAATCGGCAATCTGAAAGAGTGTCGTGTTTCTGTTTGACGTCCATCTTAAAATGCCTGGCCAAACTCTCAAGACTAATGGAAGTAACACCTCTCTTCCCTTTTGTAAAACCACATGTTTGGAATGATGAACACGTGTCAATTATTCGTGATGCTACTGGGTATTCAATTGTAGATGATCCACCATCCTCATCGCGGACCATGAATTTCATTTTTGATGCCATAAATGTACTCATGAGCAAATCCAAATCACACTTAACTATATTATGACCCACCCAAACTTTGGCATATAGATACTCACAGAGTTCCACAGCTATCTCTTCAAAGGGTGTAGCTTTATTTTTATAATCTTTGTTTTTTAACAGCCGTTTCGAAACATCTTCCTCACTGGGAGGCTTGATGTACCAGCGCCGGCTTCCACACTCTTCCAGTGTAAAAGGAGAAACAATCACAACACCAACTTCCAGAAGTGTTGCCTTCCTTCCGGTTATTTTTGATGAATTGAATTCGCAATCGATGAAATAGAGGAGGTTTGAGCATGGATCTGTTGTTGCCATTGGGTCCAACTACGGTCAGGGCTGGTCCTAAGAAAGGATTACAATCACATAATCACATAAAGTTATAAATTAAAAAATTAATTTAATTTATTTTATTGCCTTCAAATTTTTTGGGCCCTGTGCTGCCCTGCCGCCGGTCGTTGATAGGATAAGGGAATCTATTATAATCTAAAAGCAAAATGAAAGTGGGCTCAAGTTTCCCTCTCAAAAACGTCACTTTCAACTCTTTTGTTTATTGCTCATTGATCTATTGTTGGCTGAGGGTTCGGTGTGTCAAAAATCAGAAAGTTAGGGCCCTGTGTGTGAAAGTTTGGCAAGAAATGAGTGGAGGTGATACGTTTGGACACTGTAGAGATTTCATTAGGATTTCATACTCACTGTGCTTTATTTTCATTGGACCGTTTGTTGCTGAACAGTTAAATTAATACGGAACAATGCATATACACGGTTGGGAGCTAGGGTGAATTATTGGTTTGGCTTTGGTGTAACAGTTCAGAATTCAAATTTTGAAACTCAGTTTCCCCCCCCCAAATCCAAAAACAATTCTAATTGGTTGAATAAAGAATGCACAGTGTTGGGGCTATAAAGCAGCCATACCAATCTAACAACACCACACTCATTCGAGCAAGGAAGCCAAAAGCACAAACAAAATTTGTCATAATGGTTGGCATTGATCCCTATTCCGAGAGATTGACCAAAGAAAGACTACTTGCGCAATCAAGGCTAGAGCGATACATGTCTACCAAGACCCGGCCGTGACTGTTTTCCGGAGTCATTAGAGGTCGTGTTTCATGATAAAGAGGTTAGGGTGTTTATGACTAATTTTTATTATCTACTGCGTTAACTATTCCAAAAAACAATTTATGACTGCATTCTTTTGAATTTCAGGGGTCCAAAATGCATTCACATTCCAGACCAGTTTGTAAACAAGTTTGTCAGCATATTCTAAGAGAGGCGAGTATGCACGGTGAAAAACTTCATGCTGGAGGAAAACTACATGCTTTTCAAAACTTCATCAAGTTCTTATAGGCGTTGTTTCTTAAAAAAAGAGTGCTAGGTTTGGGATTAAGGGGGTCCCGCTAACTTTATGGATATGTGAGAAAAAAGTTTTTTGCACTGAATGCCTTTAAAAAATTCCAAGTTTATGAGAAGTGGAGGTTTTAATTTATGCACTGAACGAATAAAAACAATTCAAGACAAGTTAGTTTCATAAGGTCATTAATGATTTTCTGGACTTATTTGCATTTAAAAATGTGTGATATTTTATGCAATAAAAAGATCAGGGATTATGCATCATGTGAGTGAAAAAAACATTGGTGGTGTGAAAAAGATTTGAGTGCACTGAATGTATTTGAAAAAATCGGAGTCTGACATATGTAGGTTTTACTATTGTACATGTAAAGCATACGTTTTTATGCATTGAACGAATAATACAAGTTTAGGATTTGTTTGTTCACAAAACACGTTTTGGAGATAAGTTTAAGATAAGTTCTCAAAACAGGGATTATGCTTTCTGAAACTAATATGATTTTGAGTTAAAAGAAATATATTATGAAGAAATAACTTCATAGTATTATTTTAAGTTAGATCTATAGAAATAAATTTAGAGTGAAAGCTGTAGAAATGGGTAATTATTACATTTACATTTACATTTACAGACTTAATTAAGGGGGGGGGGGGGGGGGGGGGGGGCAAGCGTCATGAATTCTTGGGGCCTGATCTCTTATAAGCATTAAAGGATTCCATGCATTTTCAAAGTGAGATATCATGTTAGATATCAACAAAACTACTTACCTTTGAGGGCTTCAGGAGGTGCAATTTTGCGGGACCATAAAGGTGGATTTGTTGCTGCGATTAGCTTCCCGGTGCAAGCACAGTCGCCTATTGAAGCTGAGCTGAAGGCAGTCTTCTCAGCAGTAAGATGGGCTGTCAACGAAGGCTATGCTAATCTTCAGGTGGAGACGGATTCCCTTAGAGCTCTGGATTATCTGAAGAGAGCGGGTGAAAGGAGTGAAAGGAGGTGGATGGTATCGATTCAGGAAATCTCAGAGTTGGCTTTTAGGAAACAGATCGAATTTGTTCATACTCTCCGGGAAGGAAATTGGGCCTCGCACTACTTGGCCCAAGCTCAGACTGAAGTTGTGAAAGTTTATTACTTTATTGTGCAAATTACCCGTATAGTTCACTTTGGTGTGATCTATATCATTTTGTGTCCCACTTATTTATACTTTTCATTTTTAACTTTTGTATTTTCAATTATCTTTATTTATTTCAGTTGTAGACTTTTCTTTCTCCTCCTCCCGTTTCTTCTTCTCGCGAGATCCTCCTTCCACCTCCACCCGCTCGACTTGGACCTTCACTCTCGTCTCTTTGCTCCGACCTCTGTGAAGCATCGACGCCAACTCACCACAATTGCCGGTGATTTCTTAGTCATCACAGCTTGATGGCCTCCCCGCGGATCGCTGCACTCCTAGTCGATGAATGAATTCAGGCAAAAGGCAATTTCTACAGTCCTCCTTAATTCTTCTGTCATCTCCGTATCTGACTTAATTTCTAACCTTGTAAGTTTCTAACCTAATTTTTAATGTTAATCTCAAATTTATACTCGTCGTCCAAAGCTTTGGCATGGCTGTCATCCTATTTCTGTCGTTATTGCTGAGTTCGAGGTTGATTTCCGAGGGCTGAGCTTGAGATCGATTTTCGATGAAGCATGAGATAGATTTTCGATGAAGAATGGTCGCCGTTGCTACTGATTTTTTCCGATCTGTTTTGCTTGTACGCCGCTGCTACTCTTGGCGTGAAGGAGAAGATGGCGGGAGATGGTTTCCAGAACAATTGGGCTGGCTGTCCATAGCTTTATTTGTTAATCTGTTTCACACTAAGCTTGTCAATTTCTTACCAGGTTGTGCTCCATTCTATTGAAAGTTTACCAGAGACAAAGAACATTTGATCCTAGTAAGTATCAGCATTTTCCCTGTAATGAATTGGATGTTTCATATGATCTGGAGTGTTTAAAAAGACAAAACATATTCTATCTTAATTTCTTATGAAAGCAATAATTGGTTGAATGAAAGTTGAAACTGAATGTGTGTGTCTATCATCTGTTCATCACGTTTATTCACTTTTCTGCAAGTGTGAAACTGCATATTATTAATACAGAGGGACTTGTTTTACTATTTTTTTCATTTTACTCTTCTATAATCATGTAGTTGTTGTCATTGTAATTTTTATTAGCTTTAGTAATTATTTTACATTTTTAAATTTAATCAACTTTCTGACTGTGACTGTTGATTATCCACTACATGGCACCCATGCCTAAAGTGATATATGTTGGTCCTCGTAGTTTTCAGAGAGGTAATTCTCTTGTTTGTTGCTTAAAATGCTTTTCTGTTGCAGGTATCAATTATAGTTGTATAAATAATTGATGTATTCTATTTGACAGGCAAGAAAGAGATTTAAAATTTAAATAGGATAGTGGGGCTTGAGGTGGTAAGATTGTGTAAATGGAATCTTAAATTCAATAAAACAAATATATGTTGTAATTAGTGTGTACTATTCACTGTAAAGACATTGTTGTGAAGGAAATAAATGTTGAACCTGGAGTTCCAAAGGTCTTTCAAGATTTGAATGTCTAATTAGCTTTTAACTGATTTGTTTTGAATTTTATGTTGTTTTAAGAAACTTGTTAGACACTATGAGTTAAATGTGTTTATACTACGCGATACATTTGAGTTGAGTGTATTTGGAACTATCATATATTTGAATCAAGTGTTTGTGATTATACGATAGTATTATTTTGAATAGTGTGCAATTATAATTTTTTGAGTTTTCTGAAGACTTATCAGCAGGCTTCAGGACATCTTGTGAATACGGCATCATATGTTGGCTTGGTGTAAGACACATGATAATCTTAAACATGCATTCCCTTTAAGGCAAGCTTGCCAATTCCTGTACATGTCCTTCACAAGCCTTTGATACAGAAGTGGAGAAAATCTGGGGAACAATCAATAAAGCTTAATTTGGCTTTTTCAGAAGAAAGGAAAGGACCCCAGGAGACTTTATTCCTAGAAATCATAATGTAAACTTGATTGCAGCAACTTTCATTTACTCTTTTGAACTTTGATACCTCTAAAGAGTTGGATATCCTAAATCAGGCTCTATGTTGGTGTTGTTTTGTTGCAATGGGATCTCTCTAATTTTTTCAATTTTTTATTATTATTTCAGATATCAAATGGAAACTTAAGTAGGGTTTACAAATGTGATGCTCAATCTGAAAAATCACAATAACCCCCAACAAAAGACCGTGCTGGAGCAACTAAATAGTTTAAGGGTGAGACTATTTTTTGTGCAAATGTGCCTATGTTTACAACTTAATATTGATCTAGAGTTATGTTTATACTTCGTATTTTAGGCTGCATTTTTAATAAAATATCTAATTTGTGATCTTATTTTTATAAATATATAATTCTGTAACTGTTTGCATTTAAGAATTTTTGTTTCATCAGATTACCAGAAGAGGTGAAGAAGCAAAATCAAATGGTATAATACAGAGTAGATACTGTAATAAATTGAGTTAACAAGTTGAATTGTATACTTATTGTGACACTTGAATGTTGTTTTTGTTTCTTATTGTTGTATCATGTGTATTACTTTTTGTTGCACCATGTTTCTTTTTGTTGTAACATGTTGTTTTTTGTTGCATAGTGTTGCTTATTGTTGTACTGTGTTATTGATCGTTGTTTTTATTGACTTAGTTTTTTTTTATTATTTAGGTTTCTATTACCTTGGTGACTTTCTTAAAATCAAAATGTCTATGTAGATTCAAAAACAAAAACCTAAAGTGATAAATTTAGATCCATGAAAATAAACAACTTGAAAATTTCATCGTTATAAACAAAAGAAAACACATAGAAACAATATGCAACAAAAACAAATAAAATAATAATAATAATAATAATAATAATTCAATAGTTTAATTGTTGTAAGAAATATTACATTATAAAATTCGTATTGTTTTTTTTTT